AATAGCCATTGATGGACCTCTCCTCCATGAATTTATCTAGTTCTCTTTTTAACCCCGTTATCGTCTTGGCCTTCACCCTCTGATAAGAAGTTCCACAGACTGACTGTGCTTTTTGTGAAAAAATACTTCCTTTTGTTTGTTTTAAATCTGCTTCCTATTAATTTAATTTGGTGATCCCTAGTTCTTGTGTTATGAGGAGTAAATAACATTTCCTTATTTACTTTTTCCACAAGCTTATGCTCAAATAAATTGGTTAGTCTCTAAGGTGCCACAAGTCTTCCTTGTCTTTTTTCTCCACACCAGTCATGATTTTATAGACCTCTATCATATCCCCCCTCAGTCATCTCTTTTCCAAGCTGAAACGTCCCTGTCTTATTAATCTCTCCTCATATGGAAGCCGCTCCGTACCCCAAATTCTGATTAGCAGTAAAGATTCTCTCCAGACCCTTCAATCTGTATCCCTCCCTCCCCGACATAATCTTCTCACCTCTTCCACTGGTTGCATTAATAGCTTTGAGAATGTACCCTGTCTAAGGCAATAGGTGCTAGAGCCAGCAGACTGCCTACCCATCTGATATACATAGGTGGTAGGTGTAATAGGCCAGGGGAAGCTAAGCCTCTGCCGGTGCAGCCACCTGCCGCCGGACGCCTGGGCCATGGTGGCCCTGCCAGCGCTCCACCTCCCCCCCCGCAAGGTCCCCACTGCCTGCCTCTGCATGGTGAGTCCCTCCTCTCCTCCACTCCACCCCCCCTTCTCTGGGGGTCCCCGCTGCTCCCTGTGTCCCTCCTCTCTTCCACTCTCCTCCCCTTTGCTCTTGTATTATGAGGCAGGGAAAGAGGAGAGAAGGAATGCAGCAAGCAGTGGCAGGAGGGGGGGTGAGTGGGCAGAGCAGGGGCAGGTCCTGGGGCGGGGTCGCAGGGAGAACAGGACTATCCTTCCCTATGGGAAGCTTCACCCACTGTCCATGATGATGTGGGAAATGAATTCATACCCAGTAACTCTCTGCACTGACATGCATCTTGCAATATATCACTTCTCTGTACTATTTATTCACCCTCAATTGTATTTCTTAAATGCATTTTTTTTTAAATAGCAGTGCAGCAATATTACTCCTTAATGAAACAAGTACAGTGTGCACTTGGCTCCCCATGTTATATGAATCACATTTGGTTCTATTAAGTTTTTATTTCTTTTGTTCAATGCCAACTTGTAATTAACGTAATTAGGAGCCTACGAGATGGGAATTGTGATCAGTGGAAAAATCAGTTGACAAGGATTGGAAAGAATGCCTCTTTTCCCAGATAGCCACTCAGCCAAATTGCGCTCTGTGTAATTAATGAAATCTCCCGCCACAAGCACCAACCGAGTATCAATGGCTGTTGTTCCTTCAGAATTGAACCACTGCTGCAGCAAAGAGCATGTTATGTAAAGGGTAGCAATTACACTTGCTGTTTGACTGAAATGCATTTGTCTCTACTCCTGGCCTCACAGTTTGGAGCCAGTCATTACACACATTAGTGTTACACATTACACATTACACACATTAGTGTTAGCACCCTAAGGGACTTCTTATGGTATAGAAGGGTCAGTCACTATAGACAGCCTCATCATGACAGCAGGGGCTTTAAATCTCCAATGTGTTCATGACCTGGGATAATTCAGTATAGATTTTTCTTATGCCTTACTGTTATTTATTATTTATTGTATTAAAGGGATCAAGTTCCCATCTGTCGAAGTCGTGGGTGAATAAAAACACATTCATCCATTTTATCACCATTGAGAGCTGGTGGCTCCATCTCAGAACCTCATCACTGAGCAGCATTATGCTCTCCCTGCCTCCCCCACACCGTGTGGACAGAGGGGCAGGCTGGAAAGTGAGAACATTAAATATTCATGAATGAACAGACCCAGCTCGTACATCTGATCCAGAGCATTCCAGGAACAAAAGCCGTCATACAAGGAAGAAATCAGCCAGCCTGGGCCAATTTGTCTGATTGTGGCTCATCGCTGGCACGTAATAGCCTGTACACACTTGCCAAAACTGGAACTGCCCACACCAGAGCAAAGCCGAGCAACTGGGTTGAACTGGGTAAAAAATTGGCCAAAGATGCGATACCTCTGAAAACAGCGTTTAAGTGGTCAGGTCAAATAGAAAGCTAACTTGGCCTCGTCCATAGGTTCAGAAACCCCTTTATTCAGGGCCTAGTTCAAAGTCCATTAAAGTCAAGGGGAAAACTGCCATTGACATCAATGGGCTTTGGATCATGCCCTAGCCGGTTACTACCATATCATGTAAGTTAATGAAGATTTTAACACGCTGTCAGGAAATGTTCAAGTTCTCTGATGGCCTGCATTTACAACAGTCTGTGTTGTTTAGTTCCTCTCAAATATATCATATAATATCATAGGCGCCGACGACTTCCCCTCTGCCCGGTGGGTGCTCGACCGGTCCCCTGGCCCAGCCCCTGCACCGCCCTCACCCCACCCCCATTCCACTCCTTCCCCAAAGTTCCCTCCCCACCCTGCCTTTCCTCACCCCAGCCCCTACCCCTTCCTGCCCCCTTCCCACAAGTCCCCACCCAGCTTCTTCTCCACCTCCTCCCCTGAGCACGGCACGTCCCCGCTCCTCCCTCACAGAAAATCCTAAGCCCTGCCAAACAGCTGTTAGGCGGCAGGTGGGAAACGCTGGGAGGTAGGGGGAGGAGTGGGGATGCAGCGTGCTGGGGGGGAAAGAAGGAGGTGAGGAGGGGGAGCTTGGCTGCCGGTGGGTGCAGAGCACCCACTAATTTTTCCCCGTGGGTGCTCCAGCCCTGGAGCATCCATGGAGTCACTACCTGTGTATAAAATCACACTTTATTTTCCTAGTTTTAAAAACACACATGCATTCATCCACCACTAGGCAGGTGGGAGATAGTGACTGGGAACCAGCTCACTAAATAAAAGGCTAGAGTCTGTACACTGCAGCTGCCTTCCAGGACAGTAGAGAAGCAGAAAAATGGGCTTATGGTTAAAGGACAGAACTGGGAACTAGGTAACCTGATTTCTGTTTCCCCGTTCTGCCCCAGCTTGAAGTCTGGCCTTATGCAGGTCATTTCATCTCTGAAACGCAGCTAATAACATGAACTCTCTCAGAGTGTGTCTTTGTGATGTTAATAGATTAATGTTAATGTTTTATGAGTTTACCTGTATAAGCTTTATACAGAGTAAAATGGATTTATTTGGGGTTTGGATCCCATTGGGTGTCTGGGTTCTGCAGATAGGAAACCTGCTGAGCAGTTTTTTGTTAGAGTCTGCAGCTTTGGGGGTGTGGACCAGACCTGGGTCTGTGTTGTAGCAGACAAGGATGTCTGGCTCAACAAAGCAGGGTTCTGGAGTCCCAAGCTGGCAGGGAAAATGGGTTTAGAGGTAATCTCAGCACATCAGGGGATGGTCCCAAGGGTGTCTCTGTGACCAAACCCGTCACAGTCCCAACTCAGGGAACCTATAGATAACAGCCTCCTGCTGGGTCTCCTTAACTTCCTTTAATGCTGCTTCACTTCCCAGGGCCATTTCCTCATGGCCCCAGCACCTTCTTCGTCATTATCTCAGGGCTTTCAGCCAGCAAGTCCCAGCAACTAGCCAGGAGCTCCCTCTTGCTCTTCTGGTCCCAGCCAGCAACTGCTCTGTCCAAGATGCTACCCTTACTGCAGCCTGCTAAGAACAGTCCTCACTCCTTGGGCTCCGCACAGGAACTGCCCCTGCTCTGCCCTGTAGCTCCTGCTGTACTAGCCCACTGGGCCCTGACTGGCTGCTCCATACAGCCTCTCCCCAACTGGCTACTTCCTATGAAGCCTCCCTAGGCTGCTAGGAGGACTCACCTCCACTGCTCTTTCCAGGGTGGATTGTGATAGGCCTACAAGGCCTCCATTAACCCCTTCCACTCCTGTGTGGAGTGAACATCCTATCACAGGCTACTGAACACCTCACAGTCTCTAATGGATTCATCCTCCCATCACTGATGTGTGTGTGTCAAGGCAGTGCTATTATCCCCATTGTACAGAAAAGCACAGAAAAATTAAGGCCCACACCTTCAAAGGGACTGAGATTCTATTCGACATTGGTGAGGCCTCATCTGGAGTACTGTGTCCAGTTTTGGGCCCCACACTACAAGAAGGATGTGGATAAATTGGAGAGAGTCCAGCGAAGGGCAACAAAAATGATTAGGGGTCTAGAACACATGACTTATGAGGAGAGGCTGAGGGAGCTGGGATTGTTTAGCCTGCAGAAGAGAAGAATGAGGGGGGATTTGATAGCTGCTTTCAACTACCTGAAAGGGGGTTCCAAAGAGGATGGCTCTAGACTGTTCTCAATGGTAGCAGATGACAGAACGAGGAGTAATGGTCTCAAGTTGCAGTGGGGGAGGTTTAGATTGGATATTAGGAAAAACTTTTTCACTAGGAGAGTGGTGAAACATTGGAATGCGTTACCTAGGGAGGTAGAATCTCCTTCCTTAGAGGTTTTTAAGGTCAGGCTTGACAAAGCCCTGGCTGGGATGATTTAACTGGGAATTGGTCCTGCTTCGAGCAGGGGGTTGGACTAGATGACCTTCTGGGGTCCCTTCCAGCCCTGATATTCTATGATTCTATGAGTCTATGATTCCTAACTCCCATTGAAATCCATTTTAATGGGAGTTAGGAGCCTAAGTGACTTGCCCTGTGGTGAAGCAGGGAATTGAACAAAGGTCTCCTTCCCCAGTTTCCTTGCTGACACAGGGCTAAGGGTGCTAGTGCAACATTGGATATGGTGCATAATACATAATAAAGAAGGAGGAATGGTTACTTGTTTTCAGCTGTGTGGGTTTGGGCAGCACCGGCTTTAGGTTTTGGGGACAATTACTGACTATTGTTCTGACCATTCGTTCTGTGGAAAGCACACAGACAGGGAATTCCCTGACACCTGAGGCCACTTGTGTGAGTCAAGTGTATTCCAAGGAGGATTTTCCAAGGATAAGAACAGCAGCTGGAAGCTTTTTTATTTATTTATTTTTTTGAACTGTTCGGTTATTTTATTTTATACACAAAATAGCATGGCAAAGACTTGGTAAATTTAGCATGCCCAGTTATCCAAATTAGGCAGAGAATTATGTCCAGTAGTCTCCTTGTGACATCTCATCTTCTTGAGAAGTGTTTAGTCCAACTTGACGAAGCTGATGTCCTTGGCGTACTGGCGGAAGCACTGCCGGCACGTGTTCAGCCCATACTTGCGGATCGGGCCGTGGCGGTTTGAGCACACGTGGCACGAGCGGGAGCCCTTTCCGAACTTCCTAGGGTGGCTCCAGTAGAGCTGCTGGTAACCCATCCTACCCGCTGCTCACACCGCGTCCAAGGAATCTGGAGACCCAGCAGGAAGCCTGGAACAGGAGACAGCTATGATTGAGCTTAGCCATGACTAAGCATAAGCCCAGGACTGGTTTGTTTTATTCCACACACAGCAAGAAGTCTGTCGAGGAGCAGAATGAATCACAGAGTCCAATTTTGTAATTGTGACTGGGAAAGTGTTCTGATGCCATTTAGAAGTTCTGCATGTGTGGCTAACCCACAGATGATTAGTTAATGGGAAAGGAACTAAATGTTCAGCTGTGATTGACAGGAAATGGGCCTTTCTTCCAGACAAATGCCAATGTCACTTTTCCCTTCAGCTGTTTGAGCAATTCAGGCAAGTTTGGGGAAACCAAAGAGACCCTTCAGCAAAGAGGGAACAGATACTGAACTCTGGATTTTTTAAAAGTGCCCACCCACTTTGGAGCACCCCTGTGCTGGGACCCCAGTGTGAAGCTCTAAGACAGCCATTTCCAACCTGTCCAGCCCGAAGGCCAAGCATGTTATTCCAGAAAGAGCATGGGGACACAAACAATATTTAGGGGCAGATTCTCTGTCCTGTCCCAGCTGGTGCACAGGAAGCCCTGCAGGACAGAGAGGGAGGGGAAGGTTTCTAAAGGAGAGGAGGCAGGAAATGAAAGACTGAGGGATGAGGGAAGAAGAGCGAATTAAATGCTCATGTTGGTTGTCTGGGGACTTGAGAAGGAAACGCTGGGTGTGTGGGGGCAGGACTGGTAATTAAATGAACTCACAGCAAGCTCCAGATTTACTTGAACTAGTCCTGGGCCGGAAGGTTCAGGATGGCTCTTATTTTGTCCATACCAGTTTGCCCATTACTAAACTCCAGCAACAGACCATTCAGCTGATGAGGGATGAAGGAAATCAGCTGCAGTGCATTTTTGTGCACAGAACTGGCTTTTCCAGAAGCCACTGAACCTGCCAGGACCCCTTGAGGAAGTTACATCTAGTTCATGTGAGAGTAGGAACACTATGTATCATGTTTCGTCTCCACTGAAACAAGGGTATAACACAGATGCAAACAAGATTAATTAAACAAAGTCAGGGAAAGTTGCTAATTGTCCATGAATAACAAACTGCAAACACATAACACAGTTAATTAGAAAATAAATTAATCATCTCATGGAAGAAACACATTTAATTATCACAAAACATTGCACCATGCAGTAATTATGTGTGTACCAGTGCTGGTAAGTGATGGCTGTGTTTGCACTCTCATTACAAACAAGTTCTCTTGCTTCATTTTGATTAATGCATCCATATTGACTCGACACACTGCTATGTCTGCTTAAAATGGTTGCCTCTTTATGTGGATTTTGTTGGCTGATAAAAAATCAGAGCCCCATCACTCCTGATAAACTGTGCTTTACTTTGTGAGTGATTCCACAGATTTGGTATGGGAACACTCTCTGATCTAGAAGCAGGGATGCTACTGTAACTCTTCTGCCTGTGGAGTTGGCAGCGACAAGGGCCAGGTTCAATATCTAGGGGTTCCTTTTGTCAATACAACACAGAAACAGCTCAGCCCCCCACCCAGTAATCTGGGAAAATTACACACCACCCTTGGGCACTCCTAAGAGGCAATACTTTCCCTCCCGCAAGCACAAAGTCTGTATAGAAAAGAAAACTTTTAATAAAAAAAGGGGAAAGGAACCCGGCACTAATTTGATAAAAGACCAAGCATGATTCAAAAACATATGATGATGAGCAAAACACCCACTCCAGAATACATTAGGCAGTGTCCTTTGCCTATTTCTCACTTGTGCTGTGAAAGTCCAAACAAACGTTCCTTTAACACGCCACTCCCCTCTCCCTCCAGCGCACCCCACTCATAGTTGTCCTTGATCAGTGAAGATCCAGAGTTCAGAGTTCACCTCCCACCCCCCACCCCCACCCCCAGTGAGGGGAGGCATCGACCAATACCTCAGCTCCTGATGCCGCACCGTTCACTCTGCATCGCTGCCTGCCACTGCTGTGCGCTGCATCGTTGTCTACTCTGCTGCTGCCTTGTCATTGTTCACTCCACCACTGGCCTCTCTACTGCAACTTCTGCGATGCCTTGAGGTCCCAGCAACTTCACACAGGCAGTTCTCAGCGATTTCAGCACTTAGGGAGGGAGTCTCACTGCTAGTACAAACTGGTCAGTCTCTTTCACTGAAGACACTACCCCACCGCAGGTCTAAGGAGTATCACCTAGACCTGGTTATCAGTGATTTCAGCTCTAGGGAACTGTAACAAAAGAAAAGACTCTCAATTGAGTCTAACCAGCTCTGTCATTAAACACTGGAGAGGAGGAGTGTCAAATGGTGTCTAGAACTCTTAGGCAGAGCCCACACCACCCAGTTGAAACACCTGTCCCCACCCTCTCTCTCCTTCATTGGGATTTGGCATCCCTACCCTCCGCTTAGCGACTGAAGTTCAGTTGAGGATGACCCCCCTCAACCAGGGCAGGTCAAGCCCCCACTCACACAACAAGGGCAACAACCTTTCATCACCCCTACACTCAACACCAAAGTGACTTGCAAACCAACAAAACTTGCAAACAGCCAAAAATTATCACTTGCGCAAAAAGAAAAGGAATACTTGTGGCACCTTAGAGACTAACCAATTTATTTGAGCATGAGCTTTCGTGAGCTACAGCTCACTTCATCTTCATGTTCATCATGAAATGAGCTGTAGCTCACGAAAGCTCATGCTCAAATAAATTGGTTAGTCTCTAAGGTGCCACAAGTACTCCTTTTCTTTTTGCGAATACAGACTAACACGGCTGTTACTCTGACACTTGCGCAAAGCAGCTCTATCATGCTGCACATCGAGGTAGAGTACACATATCTATGCAAACAAAGCTGGTTCCTGAAGTCTTTTCCCCCAGCTCATCACTAGATGTTAGGGAAGAGCTCATTCAGACCCTGCTTACACAACCATCTGTGCTAATGAAGAGTCTGCTCTCACTAATCCTTCTCCCACCTCTTCAGAGGTGAGACCATTGTCTGCCTTCTTCACTTAGTTCTTTATAAGGCACCTGTCAGAATGGTATCCAAGATCTGCTGTGCATGCAGTTTGCACAGCTATCACTACATCAGTCAGAGGTGTGTTTTTTTTACCAATAGGGTAATATTGGTCCAAGCTCCAGTGTGGATGCAGATACACTGTTATAAAGGTGTCTTACAGTGGTATAGTTTATTCCCCTTCTCTACTGAAATGGCTGTACAGGTACAAAGCCTCTTTATACAGATACCGTATAACTGTGTCTACACTAGGTGTGTTATCCCACTTTAACTACACCAGTACAGTAGAAGAATAGGAACTCTTGTGTTTAGACAAGGCCTGAGACAGTGACTAGATTTTCAGAGCTTGGCACATGAGGTCCTGAGGACTTTTGAAAATCTGTCCTCCTGCATCTGATTCTCTGACAGGCACCTTGTGTGGTCATTTACACCTGTGCACAATGGCTGTGTGAATTCTCCTCTCAGTGTAGGAGCTTTTCACACCCACTTTGAAGAAGTGTAAATGATGAGACAAGGTGCCAGGCAGGAAGAATTAGACCAAATACCTCAGAACAGCTGAGCCCTGCCATACTACGAGCTCTTCCAGCACCATGCATGCTTTGCATACAGGCTGCTCCAGTACATGCTACACTGCACAGCACTTGCCACAGACTGTGCATGATTGTGTTATCTCTGCTGGGTCTTCTAGAGATCCTGAAGCTACAGCTAAAGGAGAACTGCTGGGATTGGGTGGAGGTATCTGAAGCCACTAGACAGCAAGGGCTAAATTAAGCTTAGGGAATGAGCTAAGAGGAGGGATGTGAAGTAAACATGGCACTGTTCCTATTTCCATTTTAGCTAACGGGCTCCCATTGGCTTGTAAGCTCCATTGACTTTGTAAGAGATGTACCCAAGAAAATTAGAACTTCATTTGGTGCAATGCATTTAAAGTCTGACTCAGTACAGTGCCTGGTGTACTCAGCTCCAATGGGAGCATCTTGCAGCGGATGGGGAGGGACATTTGTTGGCATATATTTTGTGAGGGAAAATGGCTTTTGACAAAAAATGAAAATTTTTTACAAAAAAATTAATTTCAGTCAAAATTTTGCTTGATGAAAATTTTCAGTAGAAAATGTTTGGTTTGGACTCTTGAGTATTTTCCCCTCGCTTTCTATTTTTTACTTTTTCCCCCATTGGAAAAGAGAGGGGAAATTTTTCCCTCTAAGGGGAAAAAAGTAAAAGAGGGAAAGTTGCAGGAAAAAAAAAACCCAAACCTTTATAATTTTTTTCATTTTGTTTCATTTCAAATTTTTTCCTTGAAAAACCCTCATGAAACATTTTTACAGAAATGAAAATTGTTTGTTTCCTTCAACATTTTTTGCAAAAAAATAGGAAAGTGTTTTTTTAAAAACAAGCCCTGCTCAGCACCTCACAGGATTGGGACCTCAGTGTTCTTCTACACCACAAAACCATGGCTAATGTCCCCCTCCTTTGTGAATAGGCTCAGTATTGCTATGACGAGAGAGCCTTGGTCCCGGGGGGTATATCAAGTCTGATCTTCCTGAGGCGACTTGATGCTACGTCTCTGAGCAGTCACTCAAATCTGACACTAGGCAACAGTGCTTGAATACGTCTCCTCATCTTGTTCTGCAAAAGTCCACTGGGAAATGGACAGAATCTTAATAAAGCAGGAGGAATGTGTCAATTCCCCTTCATCACTTCTGCTAGGTTGAGGTTAATTGGTTAATTAGATAATTACTCATATGTTGCCAGCTTGTCAGGCACTAACAACACATTTATTATCAATTATGAAAGCTTTAGTTCCCTGATAATTCTATTTCAAATGTGGTGCTTAGGACATTGCACTTACACAGGCAGACCGCATTGTTATGGAAATGAACTCATGATCTTCTGCAGCCCAGAGAAAGGAGATAGAATTATCTCCATTTTGGCTTCGCTAGTTAATTAATTGCTTAGGGTTTCTTTTTCTTTCCTTTTTCACAACACGTTATCCAGTTAATTCAGTTATGATCCTATCCAGTTGCCTTCCAATGCCATTTGATGGGCCTGCTTATTACAGTATGTCAACATGAACATCATGTCATTGAAGATTTCCGTGCAACCTAAGCACTCTTTCTGTGAGTGTACAAATAGGCCTCTTGCTCATTAGGTGAACCCAAGTTTTGGGATGTGTGTGTGTACAGTGCTTCCCATCATGTGTGTGCATAAAACATTACCAACATCTTGTAGGCCAATAGCAGTGTGAATTATCAAACATTTCCTAGCATCAGTACAAAATCTTTTTCAAGCCATCAGCTCTCCAAGGATTACATTGTTACTGATGACATGCAGCACCTGTGAGATTTAACAAGACAGCACCTTATAAATTCACCCTGGATAGTATGTTCTGCAGATTATGGTGTGATGGACTGTCTCTCAGCATTAGCCTAATAAGGCAAGATGTGAAAATGACATTGTTAAGCTGGTACTTCTGTCAAGATTGCCCATGTGAAAAAAATCGCATGGGAATTTTCAGAGGCAGAGCTGTTGTTGCTTCCTTCTGCTGCACGACATTCATCAGAAGCCAACGCCTTCCGGTGCCACATCGGAGAAGGAATCTGACCAGGAGAGAGTGTTCTGATACTTTTCTTTCTCTTTCCAGCCTGCTCTGATGGGATCCAGTTGCTATCCAGTCATTCATTATTTGGGATGATTAATTCCTTACTGTTACCTTCTGAATATCTGGCGACAATAAGAATTAGAAGGGCTAAAAACACCAACATTATGTAACAAAAATCCATTACAAAAATGGATTTGTTCCCAACAACCACAGTTCAAATCAAAGGGATCAAAAGCCAAACCAGCCCAGTGATATCCAGCTAAGCCAGGGGTGGCCAACCTGAGCCTGAGAAGGAGCCAGAAGTTACCAATGTATATTGCCAAAGAGCCACTGTAATACGTCAGCAGCCCCCCCACCCCACCCCATCAGCTCAGACCAGGACTAATGGACTAATGGACTAATGGAAACCACTGCTCAGACCAGGACTGCAGCCCCTTACAGTGCAGTTCTGCCCAAATACTGTATGTGTAAAAATGGCCCCTGCTTACACAGAGCTGATCTCAGCCTGTACCAGAGTTAAAGCGGCTAACTACAGAGAAAGCAAGTCAAATTATACTCCTTTTTACTGCTGTCAGCCCTGCAGACCCAACCCCACTCTGGGAGAGGGAACTGGAGTCTTTTCTTGCTCACAAACTATCAAAAGAATTGCTAACCCAGTTCAGATTGCAGAATCTTTATTGTTGGTAACTCCAGGGCCCATCCAACCCCACTGGAATCAATTGGATTGGGCCCTATAATCCATTGACAAAGTCACCTGTCTAACCAAATTCTATCCCCCAGTTACACACATACCATCTCTCTGGGGACAAGATTGTTACGAGTAGTTGCCACTAAAGACAAGAGGTTTGCACAGGTGTCACCGAGGCAGCATTAGGCATTATTTCCAGTGATGATCCACAAGCCAGAAAGAACGCAAATTGATCCTCAGAACCCAGGGGGAATCTGTAGTCCTGGCAGGTACAGAAACCATCTTTTTATTTGTAAACTGAGCAAATTTGATATCAAAATCACCAAGAACCAATAAATGGAGAATGTTACACTATGAAAAGAAAGTCTTGAAATGAAACCAAATGGCTAAAACTCTTTTAATCAAGAGTGTCTATCTTAGGATCTCTGCTTGGTACTGAGCACTGGTAGAATATTTATTTGCTCTAAGTTGGCTGCCGTTTATTACTATTATTTACAGAGCATGTGCAGGTCCCATACAGAAAGGGACAAACACAGGGTTTGACTGCGCTAGGGAAAGTGGTTGAGACTGGGTTGGAATTAGCTAACACATGCTAGCCAACCCTCACCTAAACTCAGAGGTGCTGGAGCTAAGGGTGCTGGGGGGGTGCTGCTGCACCCCCTGGCTTGAAGTGGTTTCCATTATATACAGGGTTTACAGCTTGGTTCAATGGCTTTCAGTACCCCTGCCTAAACTCTGCCTTTTTTCTTAGGCTAGATACAGGCTAACACATTTTACTTCAATTGAGCTTGTCAGGTCAGAGAGCTGTGTTAACAAACTCAAACTCAACCTCGTCCACTTTTCCTAAGCTAGATAAAGCAACAGGGTGGCCAGCCGCAGATACAACAGGCATAGGCGCTGACTCTGTGGGTGTAGGGTGACCAGATGTCCCAAT